AGTGTGTGTGTGTGTGTGTGTGTGTGTGTGTGTGTGTGTGTGTGTGTGTGTGTGTATAGATAAGAAATATATTATTGATAAAATCGAGCAATTTGACGTTATGGCGTGGATTTTCCATTACAAATCGTAGTTAAATACACATTGTATACATAGAATACATTGAAAGAGTTTGCGATTAGTTACGATTTTATTCTTGTTGGATATATAATCGTGTGAATTTGTGCGAGGAATGCAATTATTATCAATAGTTATTGTCGGTTTATTGACAACGTTAAATAAAATGACTCAAGGTCTATCCAACTGATAATGAGGAAACTACATAAACTCGACGTAATGGCTTCCGTAGAGAATGTTCGTTGAATATTATGAGCCCGTAAATCAAGTACATTGTCGATGATGATACACGATGATTATTTCTGTTCAAAAAGTATAACAGAATCAAAGATTTTGACGAGAAATCGCGATAATTATACTTTTTTGATCGAAATTCTCTATCTCATATTGTACCATATATTGCAAATAAACAAAATAAATATCGAGGAAAGAAAATATGTTGGGAAATTATTCCAAATGTTTGTTTCTGTCACTAAGTATTTCATACAATCGGTAAAATTAATAAAGTATAAATTTTGTGAACCACGAGATAGAAGAATAAAAACAACTTGATCATTTTCTGTCATTAATCAGTCAATCGTGACGGATTAATTTCTTTTTAATAAAATAGATTTTCCTTTTTCTTTGATTTGCCTGAAAATATACATCGTAAGTGTAGTTTATGCATAATTTATGTTTACCGCAAAGTCAGGTAATGACGGATGATGACAGGGCATCTCTTCTAAATGTAATCTAATTCGCTTTCATCGATAGAGTAATGTGATACCTGACGTGAAGTCAAGTGTAAGAGACAGATAATAAATATTTGCTCTCTTGATTTAAACGATTTGATTCAAGGCGAGTGTGTTTTATAAACAGGAGAAACGGGAGTAAAAGCAAAAACCTTGTATGCTGTTTGATTTTATGTGATAATCGAACGTTCAGGGTTTAATAATAAACGTATAGATATTATAATCGAATACCTCACGTGCCATTTCGAATTATCATTCGATCTAAGCTTGACTTTGTAATTTCTTTATGATGACACATCTTCATAATAAAAAGATATTGCCGTTTAAAGAAATGGAATAATAACAATTGTTATTATCCTCTTTTTTTTTTTTTTTTTTTTACGTTTTACCTTTATATTATTTGTTTTGCACGTTCAATTGTAACTGACGTATCTTACAACGTAAAATTAAAAACATTTATTCTTAATAAACTTGCTACAACCTTGTACAAATTTTTACAATCCAAATATCTGAGCACGATACTTGATAATGATTAATGCTACGTACAATGACTGAGACTACATTTTATAGCACTCGTGCATAAGCTATGAAAAGATAAGATTCTTTTTACACACACCACCCACCCCCCCACCACACACACACACACACATTCACACACACATTCACACGCGCGCACAAATTGTTGTGGGATTGTATTCTGTTTGTTGAAATGCGCATGATAAATTAGATTATCCAAGAAAAAATAAACTTCCGTCATTTAAATCAAATTCCTAGATTACACATGTATTTGTTAATGACTTCCCGTGCAATCAGATAGTACGTTGATTAATCTTCGGTCTTGCCGTTCTATATTTACGTTCTATATATACGCTGCATGCTATAAGTCCTTGTGTGCTTCTACGTATAATATTAAACTTGGTTAATATTTTCCGTACAAAGTCTCAAGTAAGAATCGAATGGAATGAACGTACTGGCGAATAAGTGAACGGAGAGAAAGTGGCATCAAGGTCGAACGTTGTACTTTATAACCAGTAATATCCAATCGGACAGAACTTATGCAGCTTTGCCATTTTCATATTGAAAGATTGAGATCTCTATGTTAAGTTCACTTTTATCAAATTTACTTGACGTTCACCACTTAAATTTTTACAATTAAATCGTAGAATAGACTATAAAAAGTACACTCTGCCATTTAAAAATGACTAACTATATATAACGTTCTTATTTAATTTGTCTGATTTGTCTTTCTCAATGTCTGTATCGAAATAAAAGTATGATTAATCTACGTTGGATAAAAAAAAAATATGCTACCACATGTGAAATGGTGTCTAACTAAAAAAGAATATTGAAATATTGAAATTTATGTAGCTTCGAGAGCATTAAGAGGAAACGCTGGAAGAGGAGGCTTGGATCGGGATGACCAGCCGTTTTTGGAAAACGTTGTCGCGGCGGCGTTGTTTAGAAGAGAATGAAGAGACGAAAGTTGAGCAATTGGCACGGGTCCTTGGTTTATTCGACTTGACCGCGCTTGGCGTGGGCGCGACTCTCGGTTTAGGCGTCTACGTTCTTGCTGGAAGCGTGGCCAAAGAAACGGCCGGTCCGGCCGTTACTATTTCTTTCTTTATAGCCGCCGTCGCGTCCGCTTTCGCGGGTAAAATGTTCTTGCAATTGTCAAATACTTAAACAGAAAGCGTATCTTTATCAAAACATTAAGTCAAAATTAAAGTCTTAATTTCACCTCTGATGTTTACCAGAGTCGGTGTGCTGGTCGTCTTAAATGATAAAAAAATTTGAATTGCCCGCGAGAAGGTAACGTGATAAATATGCGCGTCGTGTGTTTAACGTATTTGTATTTTTTTTTTAATTTGTATATTCGGCATACTTTGCCACTCGTGTTTTTGCTCTTGTGTATCAGGCATGTGCTACGCGGAATTTGCATCAAGAGTGCCGAAAGCTGGATCAGCGTATGTTTACAGTTACGTGACAGTAGGCGAGTTCATCGCTTTCGTGATAGGATGGAATTTAATTTTGGAGTACGTAATTGGTAAGGACATAAGGACGCGAAAAAACGAAATGAATACAAATGAGAAGCGCCTTTGGAGGAGGACTACAATCATTGGAAAATGATATCTTACAGGTACAGCGAGCGTCGCCCGAGGACTCAGCAGCTACATCGACGCATTGATAGGAAACGTCATGGCTGACTTCTTGCGCTCCGTTATGCCCATAAATATCCCTTTCTTATCGGAATATCCCGACTTTTTCGCCTTTGCGATGGTCATGTTGTTAGTAGTACTCCTATGCGTGGGAGTGAGGGAATCGTCCATCTTAAACAATATATTTACCATTATAAATTTGATAACTATCACGATCGTCATTGTCGCAGGTTCGATAAAAGGTAAGCCCTGGTGAGATCCAAGTCGGATCAAGTATATGTTTATCTACAATCTTGTTTAAAATCTCTCAAGTCCAAGGTACAAGGTATCGTATAAACAATAATCCTGCTTGCAGCGGATCCGTCAAACTGGTCGATCGCTCCCGAAGACATTCCGAATTCCGTGAAACACGGAGGAGCGGGTGGGTTCATGCCGTTCGGTGTCAGCGGAGTGATGATGGGAGCGGCCAAATGTTTCTACGGATTCGTGGGATTTGACGCAGTCGCTACCACCGGCGAGGAAGCCAGGAATCCCCAACGTCACATCCCTCTAGCGATCGTACTATCTCTCCTTATTATATTCATAGCATACTTTGGCGTCTCGACAGTCCTAACGATGTTACTGCCTTACTACGCTCAGGTACGAGCCGATTATTAGAATTGGGCGACGCTCTCGTCTCGGACATCGTATCGACATTTGGATTTTTTCAATTGACAATTTTTTAGAATGCGGATGCGCCGTTTCCGCACGCGTTCGACAAGGTCGGATGGCTCGTTATTAAATGGATCGTCAACGTAGGCGCGGTGTTCGCGCTCTGCACCAGTCTCTTGGGCGCTATGTTTCCCTTACCGCGTGTATTATACGCCATGGCCAGCGACGGGGTGATATTCAAGATTCTTTCCAAAGTGCATCCCAAGACCATGACGCCTATACACGGCACGGTGCTCTCTGGTTTACTTATTGGTTCGTAAGCATCCGTCATCTGTCATAATAAATTTATTAAATTATGCGTTATGAAATGCGCAACTTGAATAAGAATCGTGCTATAAATGCATATCCTCCAAATTATCTCGATGAAATTTTCCTTGTTCTAGGTCTTATGACACTCATCTTCAATCTGCATCAGTTGATCGACATGATGTCTATCGGGACTCTACTTGCGTACACGATAGTAGCAATATGCGTCTTGATATTGAGGTAATAACTCGCTTCGATTAGAAACGTAAACATTTCGTGGAAGAATAGAAATTAAAAAAGTTATCTAGTACATGTGTATAAATGCATTTCCATTACAGATATCAAAAAGAAGAAAATTCTAGCGATACTCCTACGGTACTACCAGCGAATGATTACGAATTTACGCCTGTAAACATATTTAAGGAATTATTTAATTTGCAGAATCAAAAGGAACCAACGGAGCTTTCTACTAGAATTGCAAACATTGGCACTGTCTTACTCTGTGAGTTTATATATGTAAATTAATGTTATATTAAGTAATATTATATTCGTCATAAATATCAAATTTATCACTAAGAGCTTTCCGATTGTTTGTCCAATTGTTTCAGGTATTATTATATGCATCATCACTTTTCTGATAAGTAACATGAGCGCGTACTTGCTCGCAGGAAATATCGTGATATCTGTGATACTAATTGTACTCGTAATTGTTCTATTTTTAAATTTAGCAGCGATCGGTAGACAACCGGTACAGAAAGTTGAATTGTCTTTCAAGGTAAGAAAATGCGCACGTTTTTGCGCCGAGAGTACACGTTTTTTGTTATATTATGGCATAACATTGTGATATAATGTTTGACGGCAATTTAATATATTTCTGATTTCTGCAATGTATAGGTACCTCTCGTTCCGCTTATTCCATGTCTCAGTATTTTTATAAATATATATTTAATGTTCCAACTAGACGTTTTTACGTGGATCAGATTTGCCACTTGGCTGCTAATCGGTAAGTCTTATCATATTATTTAAAAGTAAAATGAAAGTATGCCCGAGTTAAAATCGGAACTTTAAAGGTTTCTTTAGATCAGATATTATTGCAATTAT